CTGGACCTCAACCGCAAGGATCCGATCGCAGTGTGCACCGCTGGACCTCAACCGCAAGGATCCGATCGCAGTGTGCACCGCTGGACCTCAACCAGATAGTTTGCCAGATAAAATGCCAGATAGAATGCCAAGTAGATTGCCAGATAGTATGCCAAATAGTGTGCCAGATAGATGGCTAGATACATTGCCAGATAGAATGCCAGAAAATATGCCAGATAGAATGCCAGACAAAATGCCAGATAGAATGCCAGACAGTATGCCAGATAGTATGTCAGATAGATTGCCAGATAGAATGGCAGATTGAATGGCAGATAGTATGCTTCAAACACACAACCACAAACACAACCACAAGCTCACAACCACAAACACACACAAATACAAACACATAACCACAAGCACACAGCCACAAACACAACCACAAACACGCAACCACAACCACAACAACAAACACAACCACAAACATAGCAACAAACACACACCCACAAAGACACAACAATCGACACACAACCACAGACACACAACCACAAACACTCAACCACAAACACACAACCACAACAACAAAGCCACAAAGACACAACCACAAACACACAACCACAAACACAACCACAAACATAACAACAAGCGCACACCCACAATCACACAACAATAGACACACAACCACAAACACACAACCACAACAACACAACCACAAAGACACAACCACAAAGACACAACCACGCACACAACCACAAACACACAACCACAAACACACAACCACAAACACAACCAGAAACACAACCACACACACACACAACCACAAACATAACAACAAACACACAACCACAAAGACACAACAATAAACACACAACCACAAACACAACCACAAACACACAACCACAAACACAACCACAAACACATCCACAAACACACAACAAACACACAACCACAAACACAACCACAAACACACAACCACAAACACACAACCACAACAACACGACCACAAAGACACAACCACAAACGTACAGCCACAAGCACAACCGCAAACACATCCACAAACACACAATCACAAACACACAGCCACAAACACACAATCACAAACACAACCACAACCACAACACAGCACACAACCACAACCACAACACACAACCGCAGCACACAACCCGAGGACCCACAAGCAAAATCGAGAACTACAATACTCACGACCATGGCAACATGCTCCTCACTATGGCATCAAGTCAAATGATTGAAATGTCATGGTGGGGATCACTCGAAGTAAAGTAATTTGGTTCAACATGGTCAACTTTCCAGAGTCAGTTTGTGTGTGATGTGATTCTGCGCCACGTGCGACACACACGTGGGTGGGTCACTGGAGGTCACTGGGCGGAGCCAATGGTTGTCAGATTGTCGTACATCGTGTAGGTCTCCGTACGTGACCTGGACCATCCTGCACCATGGGTGTCCTGGCCGGGGAGGTTAGTGGAGGGTAGTGACAGGGTAGTCCAGCTAGGTGACCCAGTGGCCCGATGCTCCTGGTAGTTGTTTGGGTGGTGAAAAATCCTCTTCGGCGCCTCTCAGGGAGCGCCTGAACTTGATCAACGGCCTCCAGGAGGTGCGGGACTACCTTTGGACGGACGAACGAGCGCAGTTCGGGTGCCACTGGTGGGATGTGGTGGGTGCAGTGGTGGGTGCCTTTTAAGATCTTCAAGCTTGATATTTGTAAAGATTTTTAAAGCCTTTAAGTAGGCAGTTAGGCAGTTCCGCAGTTCCTGTTTCTTTATACGGCCTTGGACGGAAGCACTGCCTTCTTCTTTCCAGAAGCGTCGGTTTGGGGTAGAGTCTGGTGTTTCTGGAATTCCCCGATTGTTTTTTCAGGCTGATTAGGGAGACCACTGTAAGTCAGAAAGGATCCAGTTCCACGTTCCACGCGGAGCCGAGGGCAGCCGCGCGCAGAGCGCTGCGCGCGGCAGGGCCTCGCGGCCTTGCGCACGACGTCAGGCC